AAAAAGTCGGTGTGTTCTCGCTGGAATCCGACATCGGAATATTCGGAGATATAGGTGTTATATGCATACTTTGGATATGCAATCCTTGTGCCTGACATATCCATATTCGGATAGCCTTATCTGACAAGAACCATACCGAGTCCGAGTGACGTGGGTCCGGCTTCCACTACCTTAAGTCCGCTCGCTGACAACCCGGAAGATGCACGGACTGGCGTGCGGGCGAATTAATGGGGCATCACGGCATATCCCATCCCCTCCTCGTGAATCGCGTACCTACCACATCCCAAGATCCGTATTGACGTAGCAATTCCGCCGAGCTCATGCCCGGTCAACTACCGATGAGTGCGGGAAGGAGAATGAAGAATTCTTGCGATAATTAATACAGTAGTACATGCATGTGGGATGCACACGACACCACGAGCAAGGGTCGAGCAACAAACAATGCCAAGTGGTGATATCACCTTACTACGAACGACATCGTAGGCTTGCTGTGACTTTTATGACTTAATTATGTGGCATATCTCACAATTCTGATTATTCTTGACTAAGTCTCCCAGTTCTCCAGATAAGACAAATGTATTTGAAGAGTCCGTGTCGAAGTGACTGATAACCCAAAGCAATAAGACATGGACCCTTTAGCGACCCTTTAGCGGACCTTGAAAAATCCAGTCCAGAGACCGGAGGAGGCGAAGACACCCTTGGGGTCCACTGCCTTCGAGATCTCCATCAAACGGTCCCGGTTGTTCTGCCCATATCCGCCAAAAACATCTTGACCCTTGTTGGCGTAGTTGATGTAAATGAAGGGGTGGAACGCGTCGAGCTTCTCTGCCGCCGCCCGGAAGTCGGTGATAAAGGTCTCCGCAAGCATGCTTGCTGCATTGTCCAATGTTCTGTCGGTCCAGCTCAGAGCAAAAAGGTTGACTGGACGTCTATGGTTAGACACCGTTGATTGCGCAGACGCTTGCTTGAGAACAATGGTAGAAGGTGAGGGAGAGTGGTATTGACGTACTTATGAGATGTCCCGAGACATCTTCCAGACCGAGAGCGTTGCCGCCTCTAGCCTTTGAGTTCCTCATCATCGCCGCAGGGATAGAGTACGTGATGAGCTGGGGGTTGAGGCTGGTTAAGTTTCTGGTCTCGGTGAGGTTCTTCATGATAGCAAGGCCTTGCTGGCTCAACTCCAAAGACGGGTAGTGGGTCAAAGAGGTGAAGAGGTTCCTAGGCAGGTCAGTTAAACTCGACCGAAGAACATAACCTAATGAATGAAGTACCTTGTAACTCCCAGCTGGCCGACAGCGCTGGTGCTGCTCGCCAGGGTGTTGATGCCCCCCGTGAGGTTGCCCACGGCCGGGATGCTGTTGAGGGCGTCGAATACGGGGGGATTCATGACGGGCTCTGCATATCGCTGCGTGGTCGATACAGTCCAGCCGTTCTGGGGGGAGAAAGTGTAGCGGTATTCAAGTCCGACATTGGTATCTTGCTCGTCTTCAACCGTGAAGATCTTTTCGACCTCCTCCAACAGCGGGACGATCTGGCTTTCGGGAAAGGTGCGCGCTCCAGTGTACACGGGATCCTGCTCGTAGACGTCGACAATGAACGATGTGACGATGCCGAAATTGTTGCCTCCACCTCGCAGCGCGAAGTACAACTCGGGGTGGGAGCTTTCTGACACCTTTACCACGCTAGCGTTGGCCAGCACAACCTGTCGAGGTGATAAGTAGGGAAACGGTTTTAAGACGCAACAAAACCAACATACCTCGTACTCCAACACGTGATCCAAAGCCCATCCGTACTTCGCCGAAAGGGCCGACGTACCGCCGCCCAGGGTGAAGCCGCCCGCACCGACCTGGCCGACTCGTCCACCGACATTGGTCAGGCCGTACGGGTCAAGAGCAGCGTATATCTGCCGGGTGACAGACCCACCGCCGATGCTTGCTGTCTTCCTGTCGTCTGATACAGTGATGGTGCTCATCAAGTCGAGATCGATGGTGACTCCAGCCGTCGAGACCGAGTCGTCGGGGTTCCGGGAATGGCCACCACACTTCACCGCAAACTTGCACCAGCTGTCCACGAGTACCTTGAGAATCTTAGAGACCTCGTCGGTTGAAGTGGGCTGGACGCGGCAGACGTAAGCCGTCTCGAGCTGCTTCTGATCCCAAATGGTGAAGTTGCTGTCGGAGGCCTCGTAGTGAAGTCTGCCGGGGAAGCCGGCGGCCAAGACGTCACACTATATGACCGTCAGATGCAAACAATCACTTCATCTGGCTAGGAGGGGCCTACCGCCTGTTGACAATTCGGGCCATTGTTCACAGCAGAGACATCACGCGCCACTGATGGGGACGCAGCGCACGCCTGAGACAGAATGAGGCCGCAGACCGAGGCGATCTTCCAATTGCTAATCATGGCGTTCATCTTGAAAGTTGGTGATTAGTGAAATAACGGACGGTAAGTGAGTGTGGTGGTTGAGAAGAGTAGGACGGCAAGTTGGTCATGAAGCCATCGGTCCTTTTATAAGCGATTTAGATTTGTAGTCCTTCACGCAACTTCACTCTATGCCAATCACAACGAATAACTTTCATGTTGGCGCCTTGTCATGGCGTAATTGTGATAGTTGGGGGAAGGCGAGAAACGAACGTGTGCTAGAATCAGATACCCGCGGATGATTAGGTTGGACGAGAGACCCCGGGGGCCAAGTAAACTAACTGCCGTGCCCCCACCTGACGGCGTCGTCTACCAAGGACCTCTTTACTAATACACCTCAGCAAAACATACCTGCCACTTCGTGCTGGAACCACCCATTTTCATGGGGCTTACGTAGCAAGTCGTTAAAACCGAAAGTCCGGGTCAGCAACCTTCCGCTTACGGTGTAGAGGATATCCACGTATATGGGTCTACTTAGCCAATGAACCTTGCGGATAGTGGGCAGTGCCATTGATGATTGATCTCTGGACCGTCGTTAGAGAAGACGTAGAGACACCCGTCCAATCATGGCAAGATCTTAGGCAAGATCATCTGTTGAATTATTCGGTATCTTGAAAGGGTAGTGTATTCGTAAATGGGGGGGATGGTTCAGTTAATTTTACTGAGTTGGATTCCTGATAATAGAAACGTCAACGTGCTGTTTCAAAGCCTCGGTTTTCCTTCTTCACCTTCCTCTTTTCCCTGAACTTTTCTTTCCGTTCACCAAACACAGCATCCATTCATTTGTTCAGTCATTCTTTGTACAGAGTCAACGTGTTACTATGAAACACCTACTCTCATCAGTCGCTGTGGCACTCGCTTCCACCTCCTTTGTCGCTCCTCAACCCATTTGCGGTAACTGGACAGTTGGCCAAGCAGTGAAGACAACCAGCGGTCGTGTCTTTGGTCATGCTGCTTCCAATGCCGATCAAGTCTCGGCGTATTTGGGTATTCCATACGCCGTCCCTCCAATAGGAGCCTTGCGTTTCCAGCCTCCCATCGCCTACAACGGCTCGCTGGCCATCAACGGCTCTGACTTTGTTAGTTGACTGTTCGGACAAAGCCGTCCTGCATTTCCCGCTGCACCTCAAGAACAGCACACCACATATCTTTCACCCGTTATTGCTGTTTGGTGGGGAGCGGAGTAGTTGCTAATCCGTCGTGCAATCTCTCTTAGGGCCCAGCGTGTATGCAACCTACACCTACCGAATTTCCCCAGAGCGAGGACTGTCTATCCATCAATGTCTGGACCAAGCCCCAAACCGGAGAACGTAAGAAGGCTGTTCTCGTCTGGGTCCATGGAGGTGCCTATACTTACGGTAATCGAAACCAATGAGGACGACCGGCGTTGATTAAGACTGACGGTGGCGCCGTAGGCGGTGCGCGTCAACCAATGTACGACGGACAGTTTATCACCGACACGTAAGATGTTGTGTTGATGTCAATCAAGTAAGGGAGGAAATCACTTGCATACCTCGAGACATAGTAGCACCTAACGCTTTCTCTTCAGCTACCGTCTCGGCATCTTTGGTTTCCCCGGTGACCCAGCTTCTGCTCCGAATCTGGGACTGCTGGACATGAGGATTGCTATGGAGTGGGTTCGCAATAACGCCGAAGCGTTCGGCGGCGACACCAGCCGCATCACCATCTTTGGCCAGTCTGCTGGCTCCGGAATGGCCGACTTCTACTCCTTCGCCTACGCCTCAGACCCCATCGCTAGCGGCTTCATCCTGCAGAGCGCGACTGTCGTCGGCTTCCCGGCCCTGCTCGCAGACACCCTGTCCCCCAGGTGGTACCGTATTGCTGATTCTGTCGGCTGCCCTAGCAGTAACAGTAGCATCGCCGCTGCCGCCGTCACCGACTGCATGAGGAACCGCACCGCTGCGCAGATCTTCGCAGGCTTCTCTACCGCTGAGACTGGCATCGGCTCGACTCCCGCCTTCGGCCCTGGTGTGGATAACGAGCTCGTGTTCGAAGACTACTCCAACCGCAGTTCTGCTGACGCCGCCTACCTAATTGGTAATAACGAGAATGAGGCCGGCGCTTTCAAGAGCCTCCAGCCTAATAGGACCGAGATTTACTGGGCCGATTTCAACTTCAGATTCTATACTTGCGCCGACAACATCAGACTTGCCCAGACCGTCTCGGCCGGTCTCCCTTCATGGAGGTACCGTTACTTTGGTGACTTCCCCAATCTGGTTCTCTCGACCAACCCGCCCAGTGGAGCGTATCATGGTGCCGAGGTATGTATCCCCTCTCCCTTTCCACACACACATACACATACACGCACGCATGTCTACACACTTCGGTTCATCGAGGCTCACTCTTTCTCTTTCTTTCTCGAGTTGCAACCTCTCTTCGGAACGCTGCCTCAGGACCCCCCTAGTACAATCGTGGAGTTGGAGACGGCTGAATTCCTTCGCGGCGCCTGGACTACCTTTGCAAAGAACACCACCTCTGGCCTGCTCAGCTACTCGGGCGGGTGGCCGTTGTACAACCCCAGCGAGGACACCATGGCACGCATTGCATTCAATAACCAGACTGGCACCAACCTGGGCCAGGGTGACGCTTACAACGACCGTTGCGCGTCTCTGCCCGCCACCGCTCCGTCTTAGATATGCAAGTCCGAAGATGCCATGTGCGCAATAAGGTCCGAACAAAGGTGGTAGGGTTGTTTTGCCTCGGACGAGGTTGAAGCATTATAACATGCATGGGAGGAGAGCCTACTCTTCTAGTAACAAACATTGAATACACAAGTCCCGAACTTTGGCGTTGGATCACTGCTCGATAATGACTCGGACAGAAAAGACATTTGAGGAAGTGGCCGAGATTGACGTCACTTTCAGAAGTGAGGGTTGAGTTCGTAGCAGCTACGTACAACCACCGACCTACGAATCCTTCACGAAAACGTCAAAGAAAATGACCTCCCACTTCCAACCCTTCTGCCGAACCAACATGTTCCACTCCCCAAGCAAATCGTGCAAACAGTGAATGTTTGCCTTCAAATAATGTCCCTGGTCCTTCTTGCGCAGCCACGCAGGCGAATCAGCGTACGCGCGCGTATACAGCATAGTAATCCACATCACATCCTTACCACACATCCCAAACTCCTCGCCCTTGGGGCCGAGCAGCTCAAGCACGCGCTCAAAGAAGGCGTTCCAGTCATAATCGACCTCGACGGCCTTGGCCTTAATCATCTGTGTCTCGTCAGCAACATCGGTCTTGCCCACGGCGGCGGTCACCTTCTTGATGCGCGGGGGCACGTTGTGGCGCAGCTCGTCGACGGCGTACATGAGCACGTCGACGAGCTTGAAGCAGACGTCGTCGAAGGGCTGGAGGAGGTCGTAGTACTCCTCCCACGGCAGGTCGAGCTTGAAGCGGGAGGGTTTGAGGAACTCGAGGGCGGCGCGGTGCGGGTAGGGGATGAGCTGGTCGATGGGGTCGAAGCGCAGGCCGGGGATGCGGAGGTAGGATTGCGGGGTGAATTCGTAGATGAACTCGGCGGAGGTTTGGGATTTGGGGCTGGGGGTGGGATCCATGATGTCTGTCTGTGGTGCTTGTTTGAATTGGGTACTGGTTTGATTGGTTCTGAAGTCTGAGGTAGTGGATGGTTGACTTTTGTAGGCATGATGAACCACCCAAGAGCAGCACTACGGACAAATCCATCGATATCAGCGATACAGAACTGTTCTCGATACCTTTTGCTTTGTACAACAGTCAAAGAACACGGGTCCCAGAACAAATACAATCATTTGTTATGGATCCAAATAGGGCCTTTGTGCTGAAATTCAGTTCGAGGTCAAATGCAACCAGAGAGGCATACCCAGTACTGAAAGCACCCACTCGCCGACAAAGACTAGTACCGTTGGCTCAGTTCGAATGGGACTCATGGATAACAGCATGTGACAACTGTGAAATGATGAAGATGATGCTCGGCGCGGTCGACATGGGCGTCGCGACGAGCCGCAACCACACGTGGCGGTGATCTCTGACGCGATAGGTCGCCTGGTGGGCCAAGGACTCGGTCCCACGACCACGATATCAACGACATGCGATCGGCATACTCATAAAGAGACGATATCCCTTAGTTTTGGAAGAGAAATGCTGACCATATTTTTCATCGGCTGTGAAAGCACCTGCTGGGTGGGCCATGAAACTCCATCGACACTCTTTGTCATCACCATTGGAAATTTGCACATCAAAACCACTCGCACTGCAACAAAATCGTCCCAGTCACACAACACTTGGCAACTTGACGTCGGCTCCCGAGTAATACCAAGATCGCACCAAGGACAATCATCATATTCAGGGTCCCTGCATCCAGTCGTCTATTGAGACGGGAGTACAGCCAGACACTCGTGTAACCAAGCACATCCGTGGTCTCAAGTGCAACAACCAGACAAAAGCCTAGCGAGCATGCGATTAACAAAAAGGAGTACAAATCCCCCCCAGGAAAACAGTCCGACTGTCCCATTCACAAGACTTCTCCTTTTCTCACATGTAGCTTGCTCACGACTGCACCGACCGCAGGACCTGCGCGACGACAACGGCTCGGCCTTTGCCCACGACAGCTGCAACGACCCTTTGCCCACGACAGCTGCAACGACTTCCCCAAGCATCTTTCAGAATACCAGTCCGTCGTCGTCATCGTCAGCTCCCCGCCCGCGAACTTCCAACGCACCAGACGCCCAAACCTCGACTGTCGTGACCCCGAGTCATCGGAACCGGGCAAAATCGGCCCCCGAACCTTTCTCTCCATTCCCCGAAAGCGAAAGACCCCACGGACACGGGCCACGGATATCTCGGCCAGACAAACCATACTGCCTGGGCGAAATAAATACCCCGAGATCTGCGCCCGGAGGGATAGGGCACCCAATAGCATTTATATCGAATGCCTCTTTGGGCGGGACGCTTGAATGTAGAAAGGTCGAATCACGCGTGTATCCGAGACCTCCGTTGATGACTGGGCCCACTGAATACGAAAGGACCGCCGCAGAAGCCGGGCGGACAGGCGCGCATATAAGCAACCAGGCTCCCCCGATGGATTGTTCAGGAATGTTTGGTAAGATGTGTTGTGTCTCTTTTCTATCGACCAATATTCTCATTATAACGGGCTAATACAAAATGTACCCTGATGATGGCCTATCGAAAAAATAAAAGCCGAGGCCGATCGATAGTCATTTCCCAACGCCTTTACAATGCTATGAATAATAAAGTAAGGATTCTTTCTTCCGCATCTCTCATACAGCATTCTTTCTTTCCGGCCGACGATTACCGCACGGCAATGTTCTTCATGCGACCGGTCGTGGGAACGGGCTTCTCGAGCCTCAAGGCCCACAGAAGCATGTCCTCGGCAGGGAGGAACACCAACAAAGCACGATTGCAGAGGTATGCCATCAGCGCGCAGAAGGTTGCAACTACGGCGTCCATGAGGTAGTGGTTGGCCGTGCCGACGATGGTCAACAGAATCCAGCTGGGGTACCAGATGCCGAAGGCGAACATGGCCCAGCTCTTCCAGCGCGCGCGGTTCTCCTGGATCTCTCTGACCTCTACGTCGTCGATATCCAGAGACTTGTCCAGGTCGTCCTTGAGAAGGTAGTTGCGCAGGCGACCGAAGAGGAGGCTAAGAATCGCAGAATCGGCGACGAAAACGCATCCGATGGCAAAGGCATATCCGAAGTGCATACTCGGCATCGCGGCCAGCTTGTTTACGAACTTTCCACTCATCCACACACTCTCGGCGTTCTCCATGTTGACGGTGTCGACAAAGCCGTACTCGGAAGGCATCAGGCGCGGGGGCGCGCACGGGTAAAAGATGAAGATGATGAAGGCACACATGTTCAGCAGAGTCATGGTACGACGGACGGTGCAGAAGCGGGCATGGGTAGGCGCCATGGCAAAGTAGTATCCGATGAAGCCAACGGTGCCAGGGATATGGATCATCGAGTAGCCACGGTTGAGAATCGTCAGCCAGATGCCGCGGAAATCACCAGCCTGTGCGCCCTCCAAGAACCAGTGAGACACGCGCCACTCCAACCAACGTTCCGGACCGGTCCTGGTACCCTCGCCGAAGAACTTGGCCTCAGACTCGAGCAGAAACAGGCCGTGGCCTTGAGCAACCTCCCAGAGAGACTTTCTGCCGCCGTAGTAGCTCTGAGCAAGGCTGCCGGTCATTCGGTAGAAAAAGAAGGAGATGGCCCAGTAGAACATTTCGATGAGGAAGGGGAACTTTTGCAGGATGCGCGAGTGGACGTATTTCGCGAAACGGCTCGAGTTAGGGGTCTTGACGCGAATGCATCCAAAGATTGTGCGGAACTTTGGCGGGTGAGGATCGGTTCGAATGGGGCTGCCGAGCGAGTCGTAGTCGTCGGACATTCTGGGAGATTCGGCTCCCTCGAAGAGAGGCTCGTAGCTGGCACCATTGCGGCGGAGGATGGAGAAGTTCTTGCGGCGAGTGAACCACAAAGCGGTAAGCATGATTGAAACAATCAGCTAGTGCTGGTGTTAGCAACTTGATTTCGTTCTCGTGTCTCGCCCACGAGGAAGTGGGAATGGCTTCAACTTCTTACAATTGGTTCTACCCAATCCGGTGTCCTCCATGTGTGTACCGCCTTCCAGCCGCCCTCGGGCGTGCCGTAGGGCAGCTTGCCGTTCGGAAGCTTGCCGTCGGACATGATGTTGGGGTGATCGGGGTCGCACTGTCGAGTGTCGGATGAAGTGCACAGTATCTCCTATCTCAAGACGGAGCCCTTTTTCCCTTCGAGTCGGATCACTGACACTCCTTTTCTCTACTTGGATTTCGTAAAGTCGAGGATATCGGTGTCGAGTTCGTCGAACAGCAGCAGACGTATTGACTGGGGTTGCTGTCGTGGGTGTCTCGCAGCCGCAGATTTTTGCCGGGTCGTCGTAAGCGTGTATTCCCAAAACGCCTCCCAAATGTCTGTGCCTTATCGCAGCAAAGTCGGTTGGAACCAGCGAAGGACAAACAAGACCCAGCAGCCGAGTGTTCGTCGAAAGAGCGATATCGAGGACAGCAGACAGCGTCACACGGTCATCAACGCAAGAAGAACTGCGACGACGAAGAGGTAGGAAAGGGGGGGGGGGGGGAGAAAGGGATCAGAGTGAATGAAGGCCGACAACAACAGATTGAAGCGGTAGCGGAAGGGAAGCGGCAGGCTCTACATACGGCCCTTGGGATGGGGAAGTGGGATCCGCCGTTCATTTTAACGGATGGGCCGTTTTGGCAGTCTCAAAGGGCGCCTCGACCAATTGGCAAGGCCTGGTCGGTCTGGCTGCGCGCTCCTGCGTGGGAAAAGGGTCGGTCAGTCGCAAGAAAGGCAGACTCAGTGGGAAAAAAGGTGGGAACACGCGGCATCTGGGCGCGATGCCAAGACTTGACGGGTTTCTTCTCTTTTGCGCTGCATCCCTGCCGGCCACCGAGATTCGATCCAAAAGGGCAACAAGTCATGTCGCTCCTTTCCTGGTTTTACCTCTGGGCATTGGGCAAGCGCACCTCCTTCACTTGGGGTAAGGTCACAGTAGCTGTAAGGTGGGGGGGTCTGGGCACCCGTCCATTCACTCCTTAAGGTACGGATACCTTCCATTACAGAGTACAACTGCTGCAACTCACTGTGCCCGCTGCCCACAGGGCCAGCACTCACGCAGTGCTCTGACAGCACCGCACCAGCATCTGCCTCCTTATTCCGGCGGTAATAATTGCTGGCTGCACCTTCCACACAGGCTTGGAAAGGAAACTCTTTTTCCTGCCAAGCCAAAAGCGCAGGTGCAGGAGGGTGGATAGACAGGTACGTATCTTTCTAACCGGTTGAAAGTGGGGGCGATAGCCGCTTTTAGGAAGCAGCACTGTGAAGAAGGATGTCACTCGCCTGTGCGAACTAAGCAGCATGGTCCACGTTCCTCCCCAATGCGCTGCATCTCGTCGTGAGTCGTGACGGTGGAAGGTGCAAGGAAGGAAGCCAACACAGCAGAACCCTCTTTGCTCTTTTCCGTCTCTGTTGACAATGTAGGAAGGTACGCATTCCAGTGCGCCTGCCCGTGTTAGACTGCTCATCAACCAGGCTATGGAAGGCAAGAAGTACCAGTCGTCTAAATAGCAATCATGGCGTAGAGGGCGTTCCTGCCTTCATCAGTCGCAGACTCACAGTTACTATCGAGGAAGGTAAGGTACTTGTTCTTGCCATTTGCGCCTTCCTTCCATCTCAGACCCCAGAGCGACACGCGGCTTCCTCGCACTTGCAATGAACCAGACTGTTTTAGCTCCTTCCCGTCCCTGCGCCAGGCGCATCTCACCTCGCTCAGCCATTTGACTCTGACGACTCTTTCTCCTTCTCTTTCTCTGTCCTTCCCGTTTTGCCGACAAACGTGTCCCGTCGCCTTACCTTACACGATGGAGGAATGCCAACTCTACTCTAACTCCGACCTTTATTTCTATTCTTGATATTTTTATCACGGCCTCTGTCGTTTCGGAGCCAGGCCCTCCCGGCCTCGAAAGCTACTCGGCCAGACCCCGACCAACACCTCGCCCCCAATCACCGTCCAGGACGACACCTCGCCGTCCAACTTGCTTGCCGTACCCAGCGTCAAGCTTCTGCAATGCCTCGCCATCATATGCCGTGAGCTTAGGTACATGCTTGTTGCTTCCGGGGAAGATGCGCCTCCCCCTCCTCTTTCCGCCAACCACCACCACCACCACCGCCTCCTCCCGCCATCCATACGAAGTACCTACGGGCATCTCGCATCTCGCTTTTGCCCCAGAATTCCCTACTGAAGGCTCCCGTCATCCTCGCCCCCAAATCGACCCTAACACACTAAAGCCAGCCTATCCAACCTTGTTGGCCGCCACCGACGCTACCAAACTCTCTTCGCAGACTACGGTTCTCCAGATGACTTTCAATCACCCAAAATATCACGACAACAGAGGCATCCTCAACATGTTGATGATATCACTCTGCATTGCCAGTCTGCCCATCTAATCTAAACGCCCTGCTCGAAAAACCGATGCCTCATTTGGCTCCGGTGCACGCTAAGAAGCGGTGCCGCCGTCGGCCATGCCCGCCATGCAACACCTCGCCAACTCGCCGAAGAAACCTCAATCCCGGCGGTGGATCCTCTCGCTCTCTAGCCGCTTGGCTATCCCGAAATTCAATGCCAATGCTGCCCGGTCCTGCCCTGGCGACCGCTTGCAAATTTCCAGCGACGATATTCCGCTCGCCTTATTTCCGCTACTCTGTTTCAACAATCCGCCCGGAGAGCCGCCCAAGCCCAAGTCGGAGTACGGAAAGTTACTAGCCTGGAGCCTCATCCCACTACGAATATGTACGGTTTATCAGATCAGATTCGAGCTTTATTGACTCGACTCCGCTGCGTCTGACGGGTGTGGTGGACCAGGCTTCCGCCAAGACGAGGAGCTGCTCCTGCGTATGCTAAGCCCACTCATGTCGAACATGTCTCCCTGCGAACTGCGACCATCTTCACCACAACCTGAAATGCTACTGGCGACCACTATTGTCGAAGATCGGCATTGTCAACTGACATCCACAAGTTGTGGTGGTTGGAGGCACAGACGCAAGCTAAGCTGTTCACGACCACCAGGTCTCGTCCCGCACAGCGTCCAACGCATTCGAACTGGTGGTCATGCCCGGCAAGCAACCAATGGCTGTCGGACATCTTGGCGGTTGCGAGTTGTCGGGCCAAACGACCTACGACTCAAGCTGGCGACGCGCTGCAAAACGGCGCCCTAGAAGTCCGGCGCTGCGCTTCTGCAGGAGGCGTAAACTAGTTGAGCGATCAAGTCTACAGCTACTGAGAGCAATCCGCTTGCAATACAAAGTGCGCTCTCAAATGGCCAAACAGCTTCTTCCATCGACAAACCGAGCAGTCAGCCAGTCATGAGTCTCTCAATCCGAGAATGAATGGGGCGCTGATTAACAGCACGCGACCTCTCTCTCTCGTTCCCCTGAATCGGCACCAGCCACACGAGGTCACTTGCTTTTAGGGGCTTAACGCTGCCCTCCAAACTCCAGGTCATCCACACCCATTTCCGCACCTACCGGGATGTCGGTGCTTGCCCATCTCCGTTTCCCTCCCCTCTCCAACGGTGGAGGAGACGTGCCTTGTGCGAATCTCACTGCTGGAACTGGACCCACGCTGAGCAGAGGGTGACAGGCCGCCCGCCGCTAGACAGCCTTTCTGACGACAGCAGCTATTGTTTCTGGCCGGCATCCAGCCGTCTTGGCGTTGCAGAATGTCGGCTCTCGGGCACATTCGCAAATGTTGAAACCTCGATGCGATGTCCGGCCAGTATCTGCTGCTCTGATCTTTTTCATTTGCGCTACATTTCTCAATACGAAGTAAGCATAAACAAGCCTTTTCATGTAAGGGGGGGAAAAAGGGTCTATGGATCAATATCCCGGCTTTCGCAGGTCAAGCTTCCCGTCAATCTCACAACTCCGAATGAGATGTCAGCAGCACCCACACGGCACACGCCAGGCCACTGGCCAGTGTGCCAGTAGCCGACCCCACGGCTGGGCGACAAATACGCAGTACGCGGGAACTGATGGCGATACGCACCTGTCAAATTTCTCAAGGAATCCCTTGGACAAGTACCTATAAGGCATGTACAATACAAATACTGCGTACTGGACCCCGGTGTGATGCAACCCGCGCATCTGGCTGGCTGTTTCCTGCGAAATCGAGTGCCGATTGTGGATAGCAAAAGCTTGACGCGTACAACCTGCAAATGGAGACACGCAATTTCTGCTCATCCCCCACACTGCTGGCTCCTCGCTTGACTCGCCGTCTTGGCTTGCGGTCGTCAAGTCTGAACTCTGGGGAACTGCACCACTTCGTAGATGTGAACAATGAACTGATCCCTCCCGCTGCTTTCGTTTACAGTGTCGTCGCAGCTTACCGCCAGCCAAATATGCAAACCGTCTGCCTTGATTGTGGCTGGAAATCCAGCATGAGCCTCTGGTTGAGCCGCGGATGAGCTCAGACGTCATCCACAGCGCCCAGATGGGGCTCGGGGCGTCTCGCCGACACGTGCAACTCAACTCAATTGCACAGCAATTCATCAGTCCCGTGCCACGTTCTCGAGCTGATCCAAGTTCCATTGTCTTGGGATGTCGGTAGCGAATCAGTTCCTCTTGCTGAAGAAAATCGCATCTCGGCTACCGAAGTACGGGAATCTTGACAGCCCTCAACCAAGATGCGGTCCATTCAAGGTTGTCGTCCCATCATCCCATCATTGGGCAGTCTCGCCAGAAGCTAAAGCCTCTTGCTCGACAGGAGAGACGTTTGGGACGAGCTGGGCACGTTTCACGGCCATCATGCTGTTCAACTCAAGTCTGCAGTCCACGACACGATTCTGTCCGGCTTCCTGCATCTCGTGATCCAGGCGGCGGCTGCAAAGGGTGTCCTGGCATGTCCCTCCTGCATCGAAGGGAATTCCATGCAACTTCAGAGCCTACGTCATTGACAACTACCGCCATCCCCTGGCTCGCAATCGTCGCCGTTGGTGTCGAAAGTTTTGGGTTGCCCTGCTACACGACCCTGTTGCAGACAGCAAAGGGACTCCGGCTCATGCTTGACGGGCTCACCCCGGCCGCGTGTCCCCTCATCGGGAGAATGAGTTCTGCCGCCAGTGGCTGCCAAG